CGGCGACGACGACGACGCCGACGTCGACGACAACGAAGACGACGACGACGCCGACGCCGACGACGACGACGAAGACGACGACGACGTCGCCAACGAAGACGACGACGCGGGAGGAGGGAGGACGTCGACGGCGACAACGACGACAACGATGACAACGACGAGGGAGGAGGGAGGACGGCGACGACGCGAACGACGAAGAAGGAGGAAGGACGGCGACGCCGACGACGACAACGACGAGGGAGGAGGGAAGACGACGACGACAACGACGAGGACGACGACGACGTCGGCGCGATAGGAGGGACGACGACGAGACGCCGACGACGGACGACGACGACGACGACGACGAGGGAGGAGGAGGAAGGACGACCACGGCGACAACGACGACGGAAACGACCGCGACGCCAAAGAGGACGACGAGGACGACGACGACGAACACGAGGAAAGACAGAGGACGACGTAGGCGACGACGACGACGACGCGGGAGGAGGGAGGACGGCGACGACGACGACGACGACGCAAGAGCGCGCGCGCACGCTTTTGTTGAAAATCCGTGTTGCGACACCTTGTGTTTTTGTAGGTTTTTTGAGACACGATCTTGAAACCCTTCCGAAACCGATGGGTTTTGAAGGATTTCGGCATACGCGCGCGACGACGCGCGTGTCTGCACTTCGTCCCGTTTTTTTGCAGTGGATTCTCGCGACGGCACACGCGCAAGGGCGTTCGACAGATTTCGACATGCTCGCGCGAAGCCCGTTTGGTAGCATGTTGTGAGCATAGTGAACCACTTATGGTTTTCTTTAGATTTCGCAAGAGCTCGCGTGTAAGCTTTTTTCCCAGCCATCCTGTGGTGTTGGGTCTTCGTTTTGAAGAGACGGTGCCCCGCGTCTCCTTCTCCTCCCGCTGCCCCCTCCCTCCTCCCCCTCCGTGCCATCACGAAGGTCCCAGTGGCGCAGGTTGCATGCGTCCCCCCCGCCCAGGACAGCGCTTCGTGGCCCCATAGGGAGCTCCACCGAAGGTCCCAGTGGCGCAGTTTGCACGCGTCCCACCCACCCAGGACAGCGTTTCGTGGCCCCACAGGGAACTCCACCGAAGGTCCCAGTGGCGCAGGTTGCATGAGTCCCCCCCCATCCAGGACAGCGTTTCGTGGCCCCATAGGGAGCTCCACCGAAGGTCCCAGTGGCGCAGGTTGCATGCGTCCCCCCCACCCAGGACAGCGTTTCGTGGCCCCATAGGGAGCTCCACCGAAGGTCCCAGTGGCGCAGGTTGCATGCGTCCCCCCGCCAGGACAGCGTTTCGTGCCCCCACAGGGAGCTCCACCGAAGGTCCCAGTGGCGCAGGTTGCATGCGTCCCCCTAACCCAGGACAGCGCTTCGTGGCCCCATAGGGAGCTCCACCGAAGGTCCCAGTGGCGCAGGTTGAATGCGTCCCCCCCGCCCAGGGAGGTGTTTCGTGGCCCCACAGGGAGCTCCACAGAAAATCCCACTGGCGCAGGTTGCACGCGTCCCCCCCGCCCAGGACAGCGTTTCGTGGCCCCATAGGGAGCTCCACCGAAGGTCCCAGTGGCGCAGTTTGCATGCGTTCCCCCCACCCAGGACGGCGTTTCGTGGCCCCACAGGGAGCTCCACCGAAGGTCCCAGTGGCGCAGGTTGCACGCGCCCCTCCCGCCCAGGACAGCGTTTCGTGGCCCCATAGGGAGCTCCACCGAAGGTCCCAGTGGCGCAGGTTGCATGCGCCCCCCCCGTGGCGCAGGTTTTGTGGAAGCGCCGCGACGACAGCCTCGCGGGTGACCTCGCGGGCCCGCTGGTGTTCATCGAGCCCCGCACGTCGGGGCCGTTCACTTTCCGCGCGCCCAGGGTCACCCGAACTGGCTTCCCGTTCTCGCACGGCAGGGTCATCGCCCCGGTGGCGTGCCAGGGGCGCACCATGCGGGAAGGCGACGGGGCGGGAGAACGGCGCCGCCGGGCGGTCTACGGCCGAACCCTTCGGGCGCGAGCGGTCCGCAGCCAGACCTTCTCTCGGTCTTGTGGACACTCGCCCTGGGCCGCGGGCTGTCCGACGCGCTGCCCCCCCGGCCGACGCCGCCCAGGCGTGGTCCTGGACTGCGGCCGCCACGAGGTCGGGAACGGCAAAGGGCGACGACGACTGGCGGCTGGAGCTCTACGCGCTGCTCTCGTGCGCCACGCGCCACGAGGACCTCCTACTGATGCGGGCGCCGCGCGTCGAGTTCTTCCTGGCAGGGCCGCCGGCGGGCTTGCGGAAGCAGCTGGAGCAGTTCGCCGCGCGCGCGCGAAGCGGTGCAGGAGGGGGGCGACGGCCCTCGCCAGGGAGCTCGGCTTCAGCGAGTTCATCCGCGAGGCCTGATCTGAGGGGCCGCCGCCGCGGCTGGCCGCGCGCGAGCCGGCGGCGCGCGCCGGTTGTCGCGGACAGTTGGATGACCCCAGCCCGTCGTCGGAATCTCTCGCCAGAGAATGACCGGCGCCTGTCGGGGGGGATTTCGCCC